AAGTAGTGTTTGCACTTATCTCTCTGTCAGTGATAGCAGCATTATGGAGCCAGTTCCCGGTCCTAGTTTCGAATTCCTAGTTCTAGTCTAAGTCTAATCACGTCTTGTTTCCTGATTGCCTGTTTCCTGATTATTTAGCCTGTCTGTTGGATTACCTGTTTGCTTCACCCTCTGGATTATGTTCGCCGTCGTTTGACACACGCCTGTCTTTGGATTACTCTTTTGTCATGCCTCCAACATACCTGTTTGCCATTGTCTAACCCTCGCCTGTTTCATGACCACATCTTTAAATAAAGCTCTGTATATGGATCTGTACGTTTCACGTTCTGATTACTCCGTTACAAAAGGTGACCCTAAAAACCAGTTACAAAAAGTTACCAAAAAAATCTTTCAAATGCTGTTTATTGAGCTTTCTATCAAAGAATCCTGGGGGAAAAAAAGTATCACACTTTCCACAAAAATACTAGAGAAACATTGATAATAATAATAAATGTTTTTGAGCACCAAATTAACATGTCTTCAGAAAGATTTCTGAAGGATCATGTGACACTGAAGACTGGAGTAATGGCTGGTATATTCAGCTTTGTCATCACAGCAACAAATTACATTATAAATGTATTAAAATAGAACAGTTATTTTAAATTGTAATAAAGTTTCACAAAATTAAAATTTTTACAGAATTTTTGATCAAATAAATGCAACATTGGTGAGCATAAGAAGCTTCTTTCAAAAAAAAAAAGGAAACAACCCCAAACTTTCGAATGGTAGTGTATAATAAATACAAAAAATATTTTTAATATAATATAATGTAATATAATATGAAATGGTATATTTGGAAAAGGCAGTTCTGAAAATTACAGTGTTTTCATAGTAGCTCCTAGGGGTGGGAATCACCAGAGTCCCCACGACACGATATTATCACGATACTTGTGCCACGATACAATATTATTGCGATATTCTGCGATATATTGCAATTTATTACCTTTTTCCAACTTCAAATTATGTCCCCAAACGAAAACTTTGGTAACATCTGTTTTAACTAAAAAGAAAAATCTCTCAGTCTGTTTATCTCATTTCAATTTTATTGTTGCAGTGCAAAATTTATGTTCGGCTGTGATTGGCTCATGCGATAATTGCCGCCTCTTGTGTTCGCGCGAGTTCCGCGTTTGCGAATCAGTCTGAATGAACAATATAATGGCGTTAATGAGATGACTGATTAAAAAAGTAAGTAAACAACTCACACACTTAGATATAACCCTTTGTTACGTCAAAATAAGACGCCATTGACGAGTTATCTCGTCTTTTAGAAGAAAACGCTTCCCTGCCAAAGACGAGTTTTTACGGCTTTTGTGTTTTCACTGTTATACACTCGGGGGCACTATTACACATCTTCTGAATGAGTACAAAACCTCCCGAACGAAAAACACATGTGAACAGGACGGAGAAACGAGCGATCTCTTATGTTAACAGATATCATCAGCAATAGACAGCATATAAATGAAAACGGCATAATGTTACGGAGTAAATGTTGATCCAGGAAGTGGTATATGTCTGTGCAAGCTTTGGAGGTGTTGATGGAAGCGATTTACTGGATTTATGCTTTGATAATCGTACTGAATATTA